ACGCCTATTTGGGTTATGTGTAGCTGGATTTGTTTCAACTCTGCGAAATGGGTTACATGCAATGTAAGGCAATGCGATGCTATAACATATATGATGCTATACGAGGCGAGGGCCCTTTGGCGAGCAAACAAACACAAAGAAGTGGCAGAATGTGCAGCCGGGCGTGGAGTGCACTAAGCGCGGATTTATAACGGAAGCTTAGCCCGCTCGCCGACTCATGAATAAATTAACAAGAGAGGAGAATCAACACGAGAACATATGTATGCATAAATGTTTGTACATATATGTACATATAGTGCATTCATATAACGGTGAAGTTATAGAGGGAACACTAAGACTCACACGCCGCCCCCCACAGGCACTTTGTTTTTCCAACTTCTTGCCATAAAAAGCCATGCGAGACACTGGCGATTAAAATCGATCTTAAGGCTCATAAATTATGCAATTTAGCAAAGCAAAAGAACTTGACTGCAAATGGAAAACTTTCTGAGAGTTCTGGTAGACAGACAGTAGCACACCATAAGATCCCAGAAGATTGGAGTATTGGAATAAAAGAAAACTTCACCAACAAGAACATAATTGGAGTTGAAATGCCTTGAAATCTGTGTTGCTTTGAAACCAGCTTTGAAAAAGGTTCTGAACAAGTAGGAAAACCCCACATAAATATTAAAAATCATAATATCCCAGCTTAATATATTCACTATTTAATTAATCTTAATGACAAACAGCTCACTGTTTGAATTTAAAATTAAAATATAAAAGGTAAAGGAAATTCGCCTGCAGAACTCAATACAAGAACAACAATTTTATAGAGTACAGTACATATTTTAAACTGCACTTTAATTATTTGACTACATATAAACTCTAGTAATTAAACATTATTATCTCTACTTATACCTGACAGAGTGGGTTACGGAATCTCGACTCAAAGTGTAGACCCCGCTTGGAGGAGGCTGCAGCAACTTCATCTGCGTGTGGTCACTATATGTTTTCAGTTTCCGATCCAGCTTCAGTTTTAGTTTCTGTTATTTTGTTGTTTTTGATTCCAGCCCACGACCATGTCAGTGGGCACCCACAACGGCGGAGTGGAGCTCTGGCAGTTGGACATTCGGACAGTTGGACAGCTGGGCGGCTCAACTTTAACTTCGATTTTCAATATTCATGACAGGGAATGGGGGCGGCACAAGGGGAGCAATGCCTGAGAATGGGGGAGAGCCATGAGCTACGAATGTATGGCAATCGAAAATTATGGCAATTACTGCAGAGAACTGTAAATTATTTGCTCTGGCGACCTCATTGTCAACAGACAAACACACCGCACACACACCTAGAGTGTGTGTAAATATTCCCACATGCACTTTGCATTCGCTGTTTAATAATTCAGTGTGCTTAATGCAAATTAAGCGTTTAGCTGCCATCAGTAGGCAGTGAAGTATTATGGCTTAAATTGGTCGATAGTTTAGATTATTTTTTGTGATGAATTTTGAAATATTATGCTGCCTTAAATGATATTATTTTAGATATGTATCTAAAAACACACAGAAATCTGCAAATACTTAAAATTTCAAGTCCCAGAACAGCTTAAAGATACTCTCCTCTTTAATTTTAAACCAAAAACTTATATTTGTTATAAATAGTAATTTATAGCTCTGATTTTCTGGCCTATTAAATTATTAAATGACTTAATTTATAGGTGATTTCATAAATATAAAAGCCTTGATAAAATTTCTTACTATAAAACCTCAATTTTCGATAATTATGATATTGATATTATAAGCTTTAGTTTCCGTGCGGATTGTAGCAACCTTAAAGAATACCTACAGATTTATAGATTTTCTCCAAGTGATTCTCTGATTAAATGTTTCAGAAATGGTCAACAAATTACCAATCAGGGGGGTCACTCATCACCGAGGAATCCGCTTAAGCTTATGGGGCTCTTATCTCAAAATTCCGAGCGCACAATTATGCGTCTTGGCTTATCGGTGGCAGCCACAGTCCCCAATTACAACATTCGCGTAATTATGCCCCGGCAAATCGCTCTTAAAAAGACGGAAGGGACAGAGATTCTTTGGGAATATCAAGGGGAAGGAAAATCGGGGAGAGTAAGCCCCTTATGCGGCTTACTTGTAGGTCGTATAAAGCGGAACGACGCGACGGCTACTTGCTTTATTTTATTTACTTTTTATACGCATTTGTGCAATATTTATTTTTATGCCAACTGCAATGGCCAGTGATAAGCGCTCTGGCCTGGCGGATGAGGATGGGGATGAGGATGAGGATGGGGACAGAGCCGTCCGGCGATGTGAAGGAACGGCGACAGCGGAAATTTATGGTCATCGCATAAAACGCATAATCAGTAAACGAATGTGCCACAAAGGCAGAAAAAGAACAAGAGAGAAGAGGCACTGGACACTGGACACTGGACGTTGGGGATCCGGGTTTGGGGGCACTGAAAATTGGAGTTGGAGCTGGAGTTGGAGTTGGAGGGATTGGAGGTTTAACCAAATGACCGATGGTCAGGGAATGGTTATAGTCATAGTAGCCATGCTGGAAACAATTCCCTTGTGGCTCCATCATTCGCACATTCGATGGAAATGCAAATTCAAGCAAAACGTGTGCCTAACTTATGGCTTCTGTTTGGATACACTGAGAGATAAGGTTATTGGTAGTGGAGTTTTGAGGAATTAAAGGTAGTAAAGTAATAGAAAAATGACTTAAAAATTAGCTCAAAATATGGGTTACTTATATATCTTCATTCCTTAAATGCAAGATTACCTCAAATGTGTGAATAAACAGACAGATAAGATTTTAGTATTTTGATTTGAAGGAATTATTGGTATCTCTATCCTTTGATTACTATTTTCCCTTAAAATCTTTTCCCATTTGCGGTGTAAAATTATTCAAAGTACCCATTATGCATACATTCGCTGAATGAGATGAGTCAGTGCTAAATTGGTCTCTCTGAAAGTGCATCGATTGCACTCTGCACCTTTGCTCCACCAGAGGCACTATTTCACTGTCAATCGATGTGATGGCATCGTGATAGAGGGGTATCGGGGTATACATAGAAATTGGCATCACAGAGCGTGAAACAGGCGGCGGGCCACGTTAATTAAAGCCCTGTAATGTCATTAGCTGGCCTTTTGACTCCGCCAATGATGGCACTGGCACTCGTCTGGCTAATTAGGTTTGCATCTAATGCAAGACCAAGACTGGCAGCTGGAAACTGGGAGCTGGCGGCCAAGAGCTGCTGATTCACTGACACGCGATGTGATGCGATCCAAATAGCTGGCGTCTCTCTCACTTAATTACCAGCTGCCAATGGCCAGCTTGATAACAGTTAAATTGATTTTGATTGCTTTATTCGATGCCTATAAATCAAAGACGGATGGAAATTCTACGAAGCGGCACGTGGGCAGCGTCTTGAAGAAACGATACCCAGCGATATGGAGACTCTAGCTCTAACTCTAACTCGATATATCTATATATATTTGTATATATGGCTATATCCCTGCTGACCACTGCCCACTTGGCCGGTGTCAACGTCAAACACGAAACGAAACATTTTGTGCGATTAGCTTGTAAGATTGTTTGCAGCTCTTTTTTATTTTGTGGCCATTTATTCAACTCAACTCAAGACGGCAACTGCAACTCGATAGTTAGAGTGAGTAAAACTGGATTGCAGCTGGACCGGGCCAAGAGCTAAAAGCCAAAAGGGTGAGAGGGGTACACAGCAAGAAATCGAAGAAGTCTAGAAGTCTAGATTATTCTCATTCATAATATGAAAAGTAAGGCTTATCATGTCTTCAATATCTATAAAATATATTACATATTAATTAAAGGTAAACTATTGTTTCATTGGTAAAGAAAATAAGATGTGTTTCCTACTAAATAAGTAATTAAATCTCTACCATTTGCAAATATTCAAATATAAAATACAATTATCACATCAATGAAATTTCCTGTATCTTCAAGACCTCTTAAAAACATCCTCTTAACTTCAAAGTATAAACATTTTCTCCAAGTGCCTCACTTGGCTTAGATGTGAACGTAGACAAGCTGGCAAGCCGAAAAGCATTTTGGCCTCATGGTGTTTTTTTTTGTTGCCTGTTTTTATTTTCTAGCCAGTGTTTGCCCACTCGAATGCCTCCGAGTGGCAATTTTATCGAATTATTTGCACTTAGCTGCAAATTCAATTGGAAATAACGAGCGACTTTTCGTTGTTAGCAATGGGATGCTGAGGATACTTATGCTCTAAGTTTGGCCACAACTAACCAGAGTTGTCCCCCAAAGCCTCCCCCTACTTCGAAAAGACACAGCAGGTGATTCCAGGCAATGCACTTTGCACACTCTTGGATTTTGGCTCAACAAATGCAATTGATATCTCTGTCACAGTCTTTTTGGGTCGCGTCAAAAGTAGCCTCAAGGTGGTAACCCCCATCAATTGAAGTTAACTGGCATATAGTAAACATGGGTTAACAGGCTTACAGGTTACGAGAAAAGTACTGTAAGAAATAATTCTAAGAAATGTTGAATAAAGATAGAGATCTATGTATCTGCAGCTGCTGTATCTTATTCCCCTGACCTATCAATTAACTTATATTTCCCCCGGTGTATTTCTCCTTGCAATTATCTCCTGAGATCACATTTTTTATGACCTGAATTTTCCTTGCTCTGTATTTACAATTTTCCTTGCTGTGTGGATATTTCTGCATTGTGCAACTCATTGGCACTTGCTTTATATTTATTTTATTTTTTGTGTTAAGTCTCAACGATAAGAAATAGCAACTACAGCCAAAGGAAATATTTTGACACTTCTTTATGGGGCAACGCCGGGAAATATGTCAGCAATGCAATGGCGATATGGCGATATGGAAACCACTTTGTAGCCACTGCCCACCGTACATGGTTGGGCAATTCCCAGCTATGCTTGAAATTCGACACCCAAGGCCGAAATGGAAAACTGATCTTGATTTTCCCTTCCCTTACCTTCTTTGCAGGCAAAACGAGAAGGACTGCGATGAGGATGACAAGGACGATGTGCACGATGCAATGCCGCCGCCACCGAATTACATACAAATATCCCAGGGCAGGATACAGCTGGTGCATCAGCCCCGAACTCCCGTGGAATCGGAGGTGGGGACTCTGTCCCTGGAGCGGCATGGCGGCTCAAGCTTTGGCTCTGGCTCAGGATCCGGATCGGGATCTGGTTCTGGATCTGGTGGCTGTGATAAGGTGAGCTAAGTTTGGTATTATTATTAGCTTCAGTCCCGGTATTTGGTAACTCCCCGGCACGTAGCGCTTTTTGGGGTAGAGAGAGAGACCTCCATCCCAATTACAGACAATCAAACCGAAATCAAATCATAGTCATAGACCCTGTATATATATATAGTCATAACCCCCCTCATCTTGCCGGCAACTAACCTTCGGCTTTTGTGGTGTTTTGTGAGCAACGGCGGCGGGTTAACCCAATTTTTGCAGGGGAAAGCTGAGAAAGAGCAGCGCGATTTCCTTTTGGTTGGCGTGTGGAGAATTTTTCCCAAAGTGCGGCCTCATGCAAACGAAACTCTTGGCGAAGCGAACACCTTTGAACTCGGCCTGTGAGCCACTTGAACTCGTTAACGTGCCATTTGAGACACATCGCAGTGGCGTTCCAGAGATTGATGGAGCTGGCAGTCGGGCCAAATGCCCCCTTGACATGCGAATCCATCCCCACAACCGGGTCTCGGGTCACGCCAACTGTGGGGGAGCACATCTTCCAGCATGTATTCCCGGGATTTTCCTCCCAATGTCAGTCTAATTGATCGCGTATAAATGCTGACAATTACCTGGACCCCTGTATTTCCCAGGGATCATGCTGTTGTGATCCCATATGCTTGCTTCACTGAATCTCGGACTAGCATTCTCGATGATGCTGATGCTGCTGCTCACGTCCCGACTTCCGTGACGTTTTAATAGCACTAAGTATGGCGCATGCGCGGCCGATGGAGTTGATTTATGGCCGGAGCAGGCAGCTGCCAGGTCGGATGCTCCATAAGCGGCTGCAAATGAGCCAGGCCAGCCGCCAAGCAGCCGGCGTTCCACAGCTTTGAGCCGGGAACTTGGTAACTTCTCCATGTAAATGGTCGGCTTTCCCAGAATCCCATCCAGAAGTCACGGCTGCCGCTAATTGAACCCACGAATCCGCTGCCTCAACGCTGCGTGTCTCGATTACCAAGGTCCAGACTTGGGACCATGTCTACGTCTATTCCTCATCCTCCAGCTGCCAGACACCCACTCGCAGCAAATTTGCCAAATGGCATCTCGATTATTTGTGCGCACACAAAAGCTGCAGCTGATGCACTGCATCCATTGCTGCCATCGGAACCCAGTCACGTTCTCTCTCTCCATAAGTTGCAGTTGCAGTTGCAGTTGCCGCTGTGCTCTGATGTTGCTGCTGCTGCGACTGCTGCTGTTGCAACTGTGCAATTTCGCACTGGCGACGAGTGATTGAGGAGAGTTCAACGAACCGCCAGCTATTTATTTGCTGTGTTTGCTCAGACTTCTGCCCCTGGACCCTCCTTTTGCCTCTATCCCTCTGTCAGCTTCTGGCTCGGATTCCCCGATTCTTCGATTCTCCGATTCTGCTGCACATGCGCACAGTTTCGCCAGCTGGAATGGAGCTCTATGGGCTGGCATTGTTGTCGCCGTCACCGTCTCCATTTCATTGCCTGCATTAGCATATGGATATGTGTATATACCTAGGCGCTGCTATATTTGTTTACACAGAAAAATATCTTGGTAAGGAGTATAAATATTGATCAGAAATGGGAAAGAAATAATGCCAAGAAAGCATAAATTCTAAGAGAGAAAAGATAGCTCAGATTTCCTTCAAGTTTAAAAGATATTTTAGCCAGAAGTTATGAAAAATTAAAGATTGATTAAATGAAATCTCCGATAATTTCCAAGTTATACTTTCCCTCAGTGTCTACCTGACAGCTCCACCTTGGAGACTGCATTATTTCCTGCCACAAATCATGGCATTCATTCTCGCTTTTAGTTAGCCAACTCCTCGACTCTTTTTGGCCATTCATAATCGGGCACTGGGATCGTAATCTTTATAAATTCTCTCTCGTTAAGGCAAAACAACAAAAATCAATTTGTCTATTGCGCAAAATGGTCGAAACAAAAGACACAAAAAAAAACAAGCTTCAAAAGACAAGGCAACCCATTTTCCTCGAGCTATAAAAATTATTTTTACAACTTCCACAACTAATATTAAGTGTTTAACAAAACAGAAGAATCCAAAAAGCAAACTGCTGTTTTACGAGCACGGCGGCGTCACAATAGTTGTTTTTTCTGTATTTTGTTTTTTGATTTCTTATGTCTGTTGGCCATTTTTGTGTAAGGAGGGGAAAAACTTGGAAATTGCCATTTCCATTTCCTGCCCACGCCACCTCCCGGGCACCCTGATGTCTCCATGTCATTTTGTTATATATATACATATAGCGTACATATATAGCATATATGTAAGTGGGGCCACCGATCCACAGATCCACATTGAAGACCGGACTCTGGGTTTTTCTTTTCGATTTCATCGCCACAAAACTCCACTTTTGTGTGCCACGGTTCTTGTGGCATGTCAGCCTTGCTCTCTCGGTGAATTATTGGCCATGCACACCTGCAACAGGGGCCCCCTGTACCTGTCCCACCTGGCACCTGCCCCAGACCTTCTCCTCATCGCGTGCGGATTAAGTTGAAACTCATTGTTTGCTTTTTTTTATTTGGTTCGAATGCCAAGTTGCATTCACTTGGAAAATCGGGATTGTGCCCAAAAAGAGTTCAATGATTTGCTTTTTACACCTCAAATCTGTTTTCGGTGCGGTGACAAGATCGTAAATTAGCTTCAATTGATTTTCATTTTTATACCTGTGCAAGCAAGGGTATTATAATTTTATTCAGATGCTTGTAACGCTGCGAAGGAGTCATTTCCGACCCTATAGATCATATACATTCTTGATCAGCATCAACAGCCGAGTCAATACGAGCTATATCTGATAAAATGTAATTTTTTTACAAATATTTCAAAATTTTATAAGGGGGTTACATCGTAAAAATTGTCAAAAATTTCTAAAAATTATATTGTCCTGAAATTTTAAAATGAGTATGCAAGTTTAGTTACAGCTTTAATTTATATGGGGGAACAATTGCTTTACTAGCAGAGCTTATTTAAGACCAAGACCTAATTTCTCCTATTGTATCTAATTCACGGTTAACCAGGAGTATTGCATTGACCAGGTGATAATTTTGGAGTCGAAGGGCACTCACGATCACTACCAATATCACTATTACTATAGATGTAAACAGTGGGGAGGCCACGGACAGACTGAGGGCAGCGCAACAGCAGTGCCTCTATTTATAGTTCCCGAGTAAAGAGAGCAGAGAAAGTGAGAGTGAGAGCGGGAGAGAAAGAGAACTCCCCCCTAGCGATAGGCAGAGAAACACATACAGAGAGTTACACAGAGAAAGTGAGACTCAGAGAAATGGAGAGAGTGGCTAAGCTGTTATGCTGATCAGTAATATATATACTTTAAATGGTATTCAAAGATTTAAATATTAATTTCAAATAGAGGTAAAATGCTTTCTCATTCAATATCACATTTACTCTAAATGGTATTCTATTGATAACCTGGTTTAATTTCACCCAATAAAATGCTTCAATTTGTAGTGGGAAAAACTATATCTTCCTCTTAAACGTTTTACCAACATATTCTCAAATTTAAAACCAGAAAATAACCCTTTTCGGCAGCACTTTGCCTTCGCTTACAGCCATGCACATACCCACTCACACCCACAACACACACACATCACACACACAAATTCATTGGTTCACTGGCCACATAAACACAATAAAAAAATATATACAGAAATAAATAAATAAATAGAAACTCATACATGCACATTTTGAGCTAGCTTTAACTTTTCGTTTTCGGGCATTTAGCCATAGCATTTAGCCTCCTTGCGCTGCTTGCTGAGTTTTTGGTTTTTCTGTTTTGTTGTCTTGCAGGATTTGTTGGAGAAGCGGATGATTGAAGTTGAAGGCGCTCTGCTGCGTTTGCAGGAGGAGTTCCAGAAAGTGAGTACTACTCCTACGGAAACGTATCTATCTCGTCTCGAATCTTGTCCCCCCACCGTCAGCCTGTGCTGGGATGTTGTTATTACCCGGCCCGGACATTGCTCTCGAAATGAACTTTGAGTTTAATGTCGCCGGAGCTGGGTTTTTGGGGCCCTTTCCCGTTCCCAGTTCCCAGTTCCCATTTCCCATTCTCCAAGCATTTTAATTTCCTGTGCGGTCAGCGTGTGAGAGATTTGGTCTGGGGTGGGGCTCTGGGTCTGGACCTGGACTTGGACCTGGATATGGATGGACATGGACATGGGGGTCATTAATCGTGTTCAGTCGTTTGCGCTCAGTGCGGTTTATGCGGTCAGGCGGGCTGTGGGGAACAAGGTCGCCTGGCCGGGCAATTAAAAGTTACAAGCTCAAATTACAGGCACAAACATATACGAATACGAAATATATATATACGAGCTTTGTAACAACGTCAAATTATCCGGCCGAAGGAGCTGCAATTACAATCTGTGAAATGAAAATATAACCTAAAACAACAACAGTTTGCTACCAGCATCAGATTTTCAGAAAATTAAATGCATGGAGAGTTGTAATTAAAACACATCACTTAATTAAAGCCCTTGGAGAAGTTAATTTAAATACCAAGCTTTAATTTAAGATATTTACTGAGATCACATTTAAATTCAGGAAAGCTTAACTAGATTGAACTATATATTTATATTGAATTAATTTTATACAAAAAACATTATTTATACAGGACTTTTGCGTTATTTGTGGTCAAAGCATGACATATGGCAGTCTTCTCTAGTTTTTTGCTGGAAGATTTTGACAATCCTAAAAACTATTCTAAAAAAATATCTAAAAATTTAAATCTTTAAACACGAAGATAAGATAACTTCGGTATGCCAAAGTTTGTATAGATCATTATAAAACAATCAATCAATTTTGGTAATAAGATAAGATAAATAAAATAAATAATAAGAAATAAGAGATATATAAAACATTTATAAATATGATAAAATAATTATCAAATTCAAAACAATTGTTTTGAAATCATAAAAATAATATATATTTTAAATTTAAATATATAATAATAATAATAGAAACAAAATAAATGTACATATATAGTAAAATATATGAATTAGAGTTTCGTTAAGTTTCGCTTGCCCGTAGTATTTTTCTCAAATTCACATATCTATAAATTGCCAAGATATTCAAAGGTAAACAAACGCCGTTTGGCAATGGTCCAATTTTTAAAATTGAAAACCACCAGAGTGGTGAATTTAGTATCTCTCCCGCGCTTAGGTTCCACTTTTCACCGCGAGAGCAAGACAGGATAAAGAAAATAAGAAAGTAGAGTCGTTTCACTCACCCATTTACATGGCGCATTGTTGTAGATCCCAACGGCGAATAAGTGATCGAAGCACACACAAAAAAAAAAAGAAAAAAAGCCTTCAACATTTGTAAAGGAACTGCACACATTTTATACACACATTTCCTTCAAATTTCTTGCACTTGCACATAACAAAAACAACAAAAATGAACTGGCCAACAAAAAACGCATTGATCTTGACTTTAAATGGTTTAAAACACAAAAAACGGCAACGGCCCGACTGCCCCCATTTCACATGCACTTTTCACTGTGAGGCTCGCTGTTTTTCCGCACATTTGGGTCTTGCCACTAGTGGTTCCACTGTACTTTTCCATTTATTTATCCTTTGACCGCCGCGGTGACCTCCTGCATAGAGATCTTTTCGTTTTTTCATTAATTTTTCGTTATTCCTCCGTGTCGACCGGCAGTTGCAGCTAGAGGTGTGAAAACATCGATACTATCGATGGCTTACTTGCAATGGCTAGAGTATCGATTTAATGTTTTGAGTATCGATAATTGAAGACAACGATATGAGTACCAAGAAAAGCTTAAGAAGAAAAAAATTCAAAATTCTTGAATGATTGAATTTAACTGATAAATAATTAATAAGTAAATAATAAAAAATAAATTTAACTTTGTGGAAATACAGCGAAATTATAATTGTTTTCTATTCATTTCCGATCGTTTTTATGGCTGCTATACGATAAAATTAAAACCAAAATTCTAAAATATTAAAAAATACGAAAATCTATTGAAACTGGATTGAAAATTTGATATGCCACCTATTATAAATTATAATACCCTGTGAAGGTATAAGAATGCAACTAGGGAAGTGTTTTACCTTCAACTTTTAAAAATAAGAGAAATACGCTTCAAATATCTTCCATGCCAATTGGGCGGCATAAACCGTACCCTCCTCCTCCGAAAGCCCCACTTTGGATAATTCGCCTTAGGAAATACTGTCCGTTTATTACCTTCGACGCACTCGATCAAAGCCCTCAATGGCAAATCACAATCTAAACTGTCATCAGAATGGCCGGGAGGATGGTCCTCGTCGGATGCCGAAAGAAAGTTTAATGGCCGGAACTTTCCGGCGGAAGGAGCTCGGCTTGGCATACGCATTTCCGGCTTTAGGTAATTGAATTTGATAACACAAGAGAAATAAAGAGAGAGAGAAAAAGGAGCGAACTGGAGCCCCGAAAACGAGTTAACTGCTCGGAGTTTATGGTGTGAAAAGGAGCAGCGTGTGGCCGCCACTCTCCCCATATTTTTGGCCAATGATTTCCGCAGCCAAATGGCTAACTCCCGCTGCCTGCTGTTGCCGATTTTCGCAGGAAGCACCGGAGACAAAGCGCGTTGAGAGGAAAAGTGGAAAAGTGCTTGCGGCCCCCGACATTTCTTTTTTGAAGCTAGCTACTCTTCTGGCCCCGTTCTGGCCATTGCCTGATTTTCTATGCTTTTGGCAGGCGGCCCGGACTCGGCTCGCCATGAAATTTACGAGTATGGCAATGGCAGTTGCCCTGCCCGCCGCATCCACTCTCCCATTCTCCTCGTCTTATCATCTTGCCAGGCTGCTGATGGCTACGAGCGTGGTCCATGCATGGGAATCCGATTATCACACTGAGGGAAAGTTTTACTATATGGTTATAGCAGTTCGAAAACTATCTTCAAAATTGATTTTAATTCAATTTAAGCTTTTGGTTTATTATAATCTAAAGTTACATGTAGCTCTTGAATGCATATATTTTTTGAAATATTAACTTAAGCTAGCATTTTTCTGAGTGCAGCACAAAGATTTTGGCGAGTGGCGGTGGAGAGCTGTGGCAATGGAAATGGAAGTGGGCGGAGTGGATACATGAGCTACCGTTGCCGCTGTCCCAACTTCCAGCTCCTTTGGCAATATTTCTGCACTTTATCTGTCTGTAAATAACGATTAACTATGCTTGCTGCTCCCTCAGCTGCTTTTGCGCTTTCTTACCCTTGAGGAGGGTATTATCACTAAGGAGAGATGATTGTGACACTATTAAGCATCTGTAAATATAGAAAATATATATATTTGTGCTGAGGATTGTATGAGTAATCATCTTATAAAATTTTAGCTTAAGTATTTGGCTTTTCGGCAGATTAAAAGTATTCTACATGAATTATTAGACGCTGTTTTTAGCACAATATTGCTAAAACTCTATTATGCTCACTTTAAATGCTGTAATTAGCACAATTGTGTTAAATATACAATTTTCTATGTGTTTTATTAATTAAAATAGCCTAAAACTTCACCAAAAAGGGTATTTAAACTTCGTCTAGGTTATTGACAACTCTGGTTTCCCTTGCCTGTGGTCCTGTTGTTGCTTTTTGCCACTGTCCTTTGGTTTCACTTAGTCAAAGTCTCTCCCTTACTACCAAGATTCGGTGTGTGTGTGTGTGTACTTTATTGTTATTGGCATATCAGTGGCTCAAAGGGCAGGAAGCGAGGAGACTGAGCGGGGGGCTTGGCAATCCATTGACAAGTCGGGCCACCAAAAGTGTGAATGTTGCAGAATTGTTGTTGTTTTTCCTTTTTTTTTGGCAGAGAAAAGGCGGCCCAGACCTTAGACAGCTTGTTGGCCATGTGGCATGCAATAAATGGCACGATTCAATGAATATCCATCTTCCGATTCGCCATGCTCTCCCCATCATCATCATCACTCCTCGCTCCCATTCCCATTCCCATTTCCATCATCATTCTCATCTGGTTCCAATTTGGGCGAAAGCAGGGAGTTTACTCGGTGGTAATAGCAAATGTAATTGATTTCCAGGGGCTCAGAGAATGAGAACCCGAGAGCATTACGACAGGCTCCTAATTGATAAGAAAGTCCTGTCCCTCAAAGGGTTTTATATCCGTAACTTTCGTTACTATGCTTCCTTTGACATTACTCCTTCGAGTGCTTCATCTTCATCCTGCTCAAATTGCTGACAGTTGCCTTATTTTTTTTCTTTTCTAACCAGCTCTCCTTTCTCTACAACAGCTGAGCCCTGTTCCGTCCATAAAGCATCCAACATCCAACATCCCAACTGGCATGACATTTAATCCTTCGTCCCCTCAAATATTTGTGCTTGCTGTAAACAAATGAGGGAGGAGTAGGAGGAGGTAGGAGGGAGTTGGCGAAACGGAAGTTTTGTTTATTTGTTTGCCTTTAATCAGGCGACAGATCAACAAGCCAAATCCGAATGGATTGGCATGTGCTAATGAAAAGTTGATTTAGGATCCAGCGGAGGGTGAGGGGAGGAGTTGGAGGAGCTGCAACAATGCACAAGTTTCGTCACCAGCACGTGCTCAGTTTTTAATTCCAATTGGCAGAGAGGCTGCCTCTCGCCAGTCAGCTCCCTCCCACTTGGATATCCCACTTGGATATCTTTCGCCTTATTAAAGCTCAGCTGCATTCAAGTTAAGTGAAAGAATAACGGTGAAGAGAAAGAGTGAGAGAGGGAGGGAGTGGGATGGTAAACTGAGTACAGTCAAAACCAACTAAGTGAGAGTTTTTGAGAAAGCTTAAGAAACTTTAACCCACTAAATCCAAGAATAGAAAAATTCTACTTTCTAAGACTATGTAACTTTATCTCAAAGGTTCCTTTATTGTAATTCTTTCGAGTTTTA